GCCGCAGCATTCCGTTATTCCGGCATGCACTAGACACAGCTGCTTTCCAGATTTGTGGCATCGGAAAAGAGAAAGGTAGCTGTAGGCCTTGCAATAGCTGCACTGATACTCGTCTTCAAGGAGATCAACCTCCTCCACAGAAACGGGCAACACTGGTAAATCAGCATGTTTGGTACTCTGGTCTCCATTCTGAATACCATTTCGATTATCAACTTCTCGAGACCGCGCTAGGAGGTTCGCTCTTTGCTCCATTTCACGATCACACATCCGCCGCAACGCCTTACCAAGCCACTTCGCAGTGCTGATAGACGTATCCTTGCTAGCAGCAGTTAGTAGCATTTCGTCATGCGAGAAGCAAGGCTGTCGTCTAAATTCCTGTAGCCGGTCAACTCCAGATTGGCCAAATGGCTCCCACTCGCTTGGTGCGAAGTTCACGGCCTCGTTGCAGTTGAATCCGTGGTTGAACCCAGCATGATAGGCTTGTGGGTATGTAATCACGAACTGACCAGCTCTTTGATCCAAGGCATAGACATTGACACCAGCTTTCTTCAGCTGATTTGGTGGAAGTAAAGTAACCAGTTGGAATAAAAGGTCAGGTTGGGTTTCAAACAGCTCCGGAACAGCTTGTCGCATAGCCTCCTCGAAGGCTTCAGCATCAGCTCCTGGGATTCCATACCACGTCTTAGTGGAGCCGAAATGCTGATAGTTAGCTGAAAACGCGTAGTGGTCTTCGTTATGCCAACAGAAGGTCGAGAAACACATGCCGACGTAAACCCATGGAACCGTCATGCCAGAAACATCGGACTTGATATGTCTGAACAGTGATTCTGGGTGTAAAGGAAGTACATTTAGATTCCATGGATCAGTCGCGTGGGGATCAAGGGGGTTTCGTTCAACCGTAGGAAAGCCACTGCCATGTGTTGTCGAATGAATATCGGCCCCGTACTCAACCTCCACTGTCTCAGTTAGGCTCTCAACAAGTCGCCAGAATTCACGTTCAACGCTGTCTTCGGCTTCGTATAGTTGTGGAGTTGGCGCAGAAGTTGCCTGGAAGGGTATCTTCGAGCCAAAATAATTCTTCTTAAACTGGTTGGCTTTCTCCTGGAATTGCTTCAAGGAGTATATACCGCCTTCTTCGAAACCATATTCCCCAGTTCCTACTAGACAGTTGGGACAATGCCAGTCATAGTCTGGGATGGTTGTAAGAGGGGGATCAAGGCAGTGCATATGATAACCGATGTCACAGCCATCGCATGCAAGGATCGTAGACTCTTTATCAGTCTTGCCGCAGTTTTCGCATTTCTAAAATGGTATTAGCTTCATGGTACGGTAACGTTCTGGGAAGCCCAGTATAGATTGACTCACATCTCCAGTTTTACAGGTTCCGTTTTTAGACTTGGGCTGAGAAGGAGATGGTCGCAATAAATTCAAGTTAGACCCTGCAACGTTGGGCATGCCATCTATAGCCGATACTATTAGTATCATGTTGAGATACCGAAAACGTAGGATAGATGGAAAAACTCGATTCGACGTACCTTTCTTTAGACGCTTGCTTCGTCTACCGTTACCCCCTTCTTCAGAATCGTCATTTTCAGTTTGGGAGTTACCGCCACTGCTATGAACGCGTTTTAGGGAATGCTCATCGTGGCCGTTCTGCCCATTGGTAAGGGGCGCTGAATTAGACTTCGTCCGTTTCTGCTCAGGGGACGGTTTTCCAGAGGCAGGAATGGAATTTGCATGAGATGAGTTGCCTGCTGTCTCATCTGATTCCCTTTTGACCTCGGGAGCTGCTCTGTTGACTGCTGTAAACGAAGATGGCATGTTGATCGCCGCAAACCCGCTTGGTCGGGAGTTTACGGCTGTGAACCCAGAAGAGATTGGCTGCTGCACAGGCGCTGGTGTGGCTTCCCGAGGAGTTTCAGCTGCATTACCGCTGCCCTCCTCAACATCAACAGTTGAGGTGTTAGGGGCTGTGGATGCTCTCCGCGTTGAGGAATTATCTTCGGCGCGAGAGTCCGAAGGCGTCCGGTGGCCATTCTGCATTGGATGTTTCCTCTTCTCGGCGGGGGACTGATTTGGAGATGGAACGAAAGGTCCACCTTTTTCAACTTCAAGCTGATGCTGCACTCCGGGTTTTGCGACAAGCAGGTACTCTTCATAAGGTTGTAGCCATCGTTGGTAAGAGTTCTTGAGCGAAGTAGATAGAGACGACATGATTTTGCCGCTGTAACCTAGGTCGCGTCCGATTTCAGCCCATTTCTTAAGCTTGCAGACCTGTTCAAATCCGCCTCTTATTTCAACCGCTTTCTTCAGTTTGTATAAGTCGAGGGGTCGTTTATCCACGCTGGGAAATCGGGTCAGGCTGGTGCCATGTTGCTTGTGGAATTTGGTTAATTGGTCGAGGTAGTTGAGGTTTGCTCTAGTGCCTGGAAAGAAGGGTTAAACAGTCATGTCTTTTTGTAGGTCACGATAATCGGCTAAAAGCGAGTGTTGCATACCTCCTTCAACGGAGTTAAGCTCCTGTCGACGTGTACGGAAGTGGAATCGCTAAGAAGAAGAAATGAGACCGTGTCAGCATCTTGCAACTACGTGTATATCATCTACTCCTTTCTTCAACAAAAAGCTTTGGATAAAAAGGCTATTCGCTCATACCTCCGTGTCGATGGCAAAAGCTGGATTCCATGACTGTGGAGGAACGACTTTGCAGATACCGTATTTCCGCCCTTCAGGAGAGATCTTTCGAATATAGGCCATCGGGTCCTTGAACTCTTCCTCTGTTGGATAGAAGGTCGGTGCTTCTTGTAGATCATGAGGCCTGTTGCGTTTGGGAGGATCTCGAGCAGCTGGGACTTGTTCACGGCGTTCGACGGTCGATAGGTCCAACGGTGCGGACCGTCGAGCACTCAGCGGCACATTCACACCGTATGAGCTTGTAGCATTAGCTGCCTGCATCGATGACCGGCTGTTCGAGTGCGAGCTCTGATGATGCAGCTGGTGCTGCTGCTGTGCATGTGTCTGGGGCTGCTGGCCAGCATTATGGCCCTCAGATGAAGTGGCAACGGCCATTATCAAATTGTGGGAGATGAGGGAGGCTTGTAGAAGGAGGCTGCAGAGTGGAGGGGAGGAGGAGGGTAGATCGGGATTTCGTCACGGCTATAATAATATATAGAGGGCGTATCGCGAATGCATTGGCTATAGAGAAGGGAATCGAGGGCGAGGGGCGGCGAAGGATATGCTGGCCGTAGGTATATTATATCGAGGGTCCTATATAGATGGCGCCCTAGGAGCGATCCTGGGTACCCGAACGAGAAGAAGGGAAAAGGGCAGGGCAGGGCAGGGCAGGTTGCTGTGTATTCCTCAGCTGCGAGGATCGAATGGCGCACTGGGGGACGTTCCGGCGGTCCCAGGTCGGTCAACGGTCGCGGAGGGACAGGCTGGACCTGGTCTGGGGTCTCATAGCATCGAGGGTCGCGGGCGTGGAGAGTCGACGATGCTTCATCGACGGGTTTTTGGTCAGAAAGTCGAGAAAGTCGAAGGTCGGCGATGGATTTTCTGCAGGCCTCTTTGCTTAGTCATGTCACAGTGTTACCGATTAGTCATGTATTCGTAATTTTGGGCTGGCTTTTATTTAACATTTATTATTTTAAGCTTTGAACACTAAAAAAAAGGGCGAAGACGACGACGACGACTACGAAGAATAAGAATAAGAAGAAGAATGATGCTAGTGAAAGTTGATCCGATGACGATGGCGACGAGTGACAACATTCGACCGTGTTTGCAGCGCAAAGGCGAGTCTCGTTTCCCTCCCTCTGGCGCCCTGCTTAGCCTCGGCTGGCCATGTGGAGCAGGCATATAGTTATCGAGAGATCCCCAAGAGCTCGACAGCTCCTTAAAACGAACTACGGAGTCGCTCGTGGTTAGCCTACTAATGACTGCTGGGGTTGCTGCCAGAATTAGTTTCTACAACGCTTTCATATGACACCAGGGTAGCTATCCGAGTGCAGGGTACTCCGTACGGACAGCATGTCTGAGAAATGGTCGGGGCAAAGGCTGGCGAGCCAGTGGCACAGGTTTATGCAGTACTAGGCGTCAGGCCTATATAATCTCATGCCAATTGGAGCCGTCTTCCCTCCTTCTGACTTGCTCCGACTTTCTCCTAACTATCACCTCACGTCTTCCGCTCCGGGGCCGGACTTAGGACTGGGCGTTTAGTTAATTGGCTACCAAGTCCGCCAGGGTCCCAGCGGGAGAAAGCGAGCAAAAGTCTCACGGGTGAAGCGCCGAGAAGCTTGCCTTGCTTGTCGAAGCTAAGAACCGCGCTCAGAAACGGCCCTTCATTATGGAGTACCTAATGGTTACATCTTTCTGCAGGATTTTGATGCCATCAAAGCTCGAGTCATGTTGTCGCCCCGGTTGTGTCACATGACCATTTGTTTGCGCCCGGCCCTTGATATAAACAGCAACACAACATAATTAGTTAACGATGAGATGATATTAAAATAGTTACAGACTATGTAACTACCTATTTTATTTTGGTTTATTCATGGACATTCCCTAAATCGCTAGCTATAAATCATTAATCTCAACCGCCGAAATACCCTACATTCTCATGCCACGGAAACCCCGATCAAGTCCGGCTCCGGACAACAGCAGGGAGTCCGCGAAGGGCATCCCGCCCTTCTACTGCGTGTATCTGCTTCGCTCTACTGTGCGCCATGCCAGTCTCTACATTGGGTCGACTCCCAACCCTGCTCGTCGGCTTGCACAGCATAACGGCCGCATCAAGGGAGGGGCACACAGAACCCACCGAGAGAAGCTGCGGCCGTGGGAGATGGTCATGATAGTCAGTGGCTTTACCAGTCGTACGGCGGCCCTACAGTTCGAGTATGTCAGTTATTGGTGGTTCGCTCAGTCGTGTTTTGGGTAACTGAACTGACCGTATATATGCTAGATGGGCGTGGCAGAACACACAAGCCTCTCGTCATGCTGCCGGCGATGAGATGGAGACTAAGGTTCGAATATGTTCGAAAACAGGAAGACGCCTGGCTACAAAGTCAAGTAACCCCCGAGAGTCAATGACAAGCACTATGGCCCGTTTACATGTTCTTTTGCGTTCACCATACTTTTCAAGCTGGCCCTTGCAAGTGCGGTTTTTCAATACAGATATTCATCGTGTCTGGCGAGGCTGGGCCGAGAGTGCTAGTACATTTGTTCCGGAACATATCAGCTTTGAGACTGATTTTGATGATGGAGCCTTATCTGGGGAGGGTCTGCCACTTCAAAATACCCTTCGGAAACTCGATGTTTCGGGGAAGAACTTGAGGTCGTACCGAGAGAAGACTCAGTTCCTGCTGGATGCTGGAGATAAACTTGATTGTGGTGTCTGCCGAAGCCGTCTGCGGCTGAACGATGATTTCGTCGTAGTCTGCTCCTCTGAAATGTGTCGGTGCACCTCACACCTTTTGTGCCTCTCTTCTAGATTTATGCATTCTGAGGATTCTAGCAATGACCTTGTTCCAATGAGTGGAAGGTGTCCAGGCTGTGAATCAATCATTGAATGGCATATCCTGATGAGAGAAATGACACTCCGGATTCGCAGCCACAGGAGAGGGACATTCGACAATGATGATTCACTGGAAGAGGAGGATGAAGCAGGGGTCGAACTATCCGAAGACGCCAGGATTCAAAGTCCTATCGACCTTCTGAGTAGTGAAGATGACGACTTTGGACCTTCAACATCAACATATGACTTAAATGTCGATTACCGGCGGCAACACCAACCAATATCAAACACGCCCGGGAAAGGGAAAATTGACGACTGGGATGATGTAGATATAGTAGAATGATACTGCTCCTCCTTGTGTCATCTATGAAGAACCTTTGTCTTCCGTCTCCGTAAACACCAAAGCGTCAAGTTTCCTCAGCGGCCCTATAGAATCAACTTTGGCCATCGTCCGTAGCACTTCTTCCCGGATCTCACGAGATATCTCGTCTATCTCTCTGCCCGCATCAATAACCCTCATATCTTCATTGCCCTTCAGCTCAGTCAAGGAGAGGAATAGCTTTCCGACTTTCTTCTGCAGATTGACAGTCTCATATCTCTCAGTTCCGTAACCCCCTCTTGCAGCCGCAACTTCGATTGAGATATTCAAAAAGAACCAGATATCAGGTCGAGGTAGCCCTACCTCAGGTCTCCATGCCCAGTCAAGCTGCAGTTCCTTGTTCTCCTTTGCAGCTGAGTATACTGCCCCCGAATACGAGTATCGGTCAACGATGACGGTGATTCCGGACTCTATATCTTGTCGTATCTGCGCTGCAGCCTCCCACCGGTTCGCGGAGAAGAGCAGATGGACCGCATGGTCGTCGAGCTGTATCTCTCCACGAAGATATTGGTTTATCATATTGCCAATTGAGGTAGTTCTATCTGATGTATCATCAGTATTGCTTCACTGACACTCCACCAGCCTTGACGCACCTGGGAATCGAATGTATTTCGTCTTATGCCCTTGGTCTACGAGGAACTGGTGCAGTCTCGCGCATTGCGTTGATTTCCCGGCGCGATCCAAGCCTTCCACAACAACAAGGGCTCCCCTTCTGGGAGGTTTAATTTCGCTTTCTAGCGTCATTTGGTATATATATATATATGTAAATACGCACAGAAAGGTAATTGAACAGTTAGAATGTGTGTAGACGGGGTCTGGTTGTTTGTCTTCTAGCCAAAAGTCAACTTCTTGCTAACTAGTTCGCTTCAAAAAGAAAATAAAAAATGATAAGATCGCAAAGTCGCAAAGCCCAACGTCTTCACCACATTAATAGAACCGAACATGGCCTCTGATATACCGTCTGATAATTCTGGGGAAATGCTCAGCTTCAGCCTACTATCACACCCGCCTACGCAGCTTGCTCCGCGGCTGGGGAGATTGTGCAGAGTTGGGCGCAAACCAATACTGACACCAGGCTATCTGCCCATCACGTCGAGAGGGGTGCTGCCGCATGTTAGCCATGATAATATAAAAGAACACATGTCGATAGGCAGTCTATATGTTGCTCTTGAAGATTGTACGTGAACGCCCTGAGCTATTAAGTACCACCTTTAAATGTCTCGTTACTAACCTCTCTGCTTGCTGGGGCAGTTCAGTCATAGAACGAAACTCATTAAAAGAAATACCACCAATATATAATACACCTACGGGAAAGACAGAATCTGCTATCCGAAAGTTCCTCTCCTTCGATGATGAATACCTGCTATTCCTTGGGCCCAGGAGGATTCCTCCGGTTGCCACAGCAAGCTCGAATTCCGTCAACTCAGTGACCATTCTGACCTCAGTCGGATACCAGCAATTGCAGGTGGAACAGTACCAAGATGCTATCAAGTCATTGAAGCCAGATATTGCAATCGGTCTAGCTGATGTGCTAGATAGACAGCCGGGGGTGAAAAGACGGGAGAAAATGGTTGATCGGACACATGCATGGACGCAGTCGGCCGTAGACATCTTGTTTAAGCCTGCAGATATAAGCAACCGGCTTGGAGAGACCTCGTTTTTTGCACCAATACTTCCACTTGAAAAGGAGCGGCAGACCGTATACTTGCGGGATCTGGAGGAAGAAATGGCAGATGCGGTTTCTGGGTTTGCAGTATGGGACCCAGCCACAATTGAATTGATCCCCCAAGCCCTTTGGCATTTACCACGGTTGTCTATTGGTGAATCTAATACCCCTCAAGACGTTCTCAGGGGAGTGTCACTTGGGCTTGACCTTTCCGCGATCCAATTCATCGGAACGGCGTCTGATGCAGGTCTCGCTCTCGACTTTTTCTTCCCAAAAGGTGCCCCTCAAGACAAGTCGTCACCCTACCCGTTAGCAGTTGATATGCTACTACCCGCTCATTCCACCGACACTTCAGCACTTGTCTCTGATTGCCAGTGCTACACATGCAAGACGTACCATAAAGCCTACCTCCGCCACCTGCTTAATGCGAAAGAAATGCTTGCTTGGACACTGCTCCAGATACACAACCATGCCATTATGGATAGATTCTTTACTGATATAAGAACAAGTATTGAGCGTGGGACATTCGAAGAGGATGTAAAAACTTTTGAGTGTACTTATATGTCGGAGTTTCCCGAGCCCAGTGGGCAAGGTCCAAGGTAGGCTTTTGAGTTTACTCTCTTGTCTGTAGTATGATAACATTGCTAACCCTGCAATAGGATGCGAAGTTACCAGTTCAAAACTGGGCCGGGAGAGAAACGAAACCCAAAGGTCTTTGGACGCCTGGATGGTGTTGCGGAAAGGCTTCTGGAGTCTCAGTCGTCTGTAGTTACTCCTGATGCTGAGGCTGAGGAACTCGAAGCTCGCGGATTTGCCGAAAAGATGCAGTGATTCATCCATCGGCCGTTCGATAGACACGACGCCGAAGTCTGCTTCCCCTGTCATTCATACCGCTTCAGCCCAATCGCCAACGGCCACACTGTTGTCATACCCTCCTTGTATACCCTAGCCATTTTGATGGCAACTAAGGAATATATCAACGCACATCCAACCGCCGGTTTTGCTTGGCAATATTTCTCAAGCTAATAATCTTGTACGAAGAAGACGAGAGATGACGTCTATGTTTGAATTCAGAACTCCATCTTATACCCGGAGACCCCAGCATATGTCATGTTTACGTAGAGTTGCCTGGGGCCTCGCATTCCAGTCTGTTGAAGGCAAGATGTTTGTCTTTCACCAACTCTACTACAGAATGATTCCATGGGCGCAGACTCAACGCCCTCCAGCCGATGCTTCGGGTTGACCTCCATGAAGGTGATTCCCCAGAGCGACATGAGCAAATTCCATAGCTATCTATACAAAGTAGTTAATTGATAGCTTACGGCATAGCTCTTTTTCCGATAACTCTGCAGTACTCTTCGTCTCTCTTCTCTTAGTCTTTTCGATATATCTAGCCATGTACTTATATTCAGGAAAAGGGGCATTGTATCGGCCATTCGGCCTTGTTTTGCCTTTCTCCGGGCTTAACTACAGGACAGGTCTACTGCTGATGCGCCTCCCCTGGCTCTCCAGCAAATCCACTCCCCCGACCTGGAGAGGTGATATCGAAAATGCCATTTTTTGCGATGTAACTATATGTTGATGTGGAAGTGTAGAGGTCAGCCTGGTTACCGATGCTTATCCCAGTTCCGTGTAGGAAAGCAGTGTTAAAATGAAATTGCTGCAATAACTAACTAACCAGTTAACCAACTGGTGTTAATAATAACACTTATGTGTCAGGCTTCTTGCACATCCATGAGGAATAACTACCGCAACAAGGATACTTGAACTTCTCTTTTACTCATATGGAGGAGTTACATGGTCCATGGCCCTGCAACGAATATATTACCCAGGATAACTCGGCCATCGTTATGAAGTACCCCGGTCAAAGAGAGTTCCGCGGCTCGATCTTCAGGTCTGCCGGCAGCTACAAGCATGTCGATCATGAACAGCCATCGCCCCTTGGCAAGGGGTGAGAGTTGAGCCTGTCAGCGAATTACACGAGAGACCAGCAGATCTCGAGTTCAATGGCGATCAAGGCTGGAATCAAGCCATCCTGGTAGTTATCAATAATAAGCGGTCAATCCGGCTGTTTGTTGCGTTGTACATATACCATGGCATTCCCTCCCCACATCCTGTTTAGCAAACTAGTTACTCCGTACAGGACTGGCTATGCATCTCCGTTCCTCGCGCACGAGCTGGTGAACTGTGGACATGGCGTTGCCCCAGGGAGAAAATAAGCCTCCTGCTGTAGCAACAGGCGTTATTGAAGATGTAGAGCTTTCAGGGGCTCAAGGGAGTGATAGTGACGAGAAATCGCCTTGCTCATCCCAAGAGCATAGGTCAGAGGTTGAAATGTGAGCCACTCGAAGTAACGATAATTTCTGCAGTTTGGTTAACTCTTACTAACTCGCTGGTAGAAAACTCGTACGGCGTCAAGACTGGATAATAATGCCCCAGTTTGCAGTACTGTATTTGCTGGTTGGTGCTGATAATCAACCACCCTATACCCCTTGCCAGTCGCTGACACGGGGCAGGCATACCTCGACAGGATAAATTTAGGAAATGCAAAACTCCAAGGAATAGTAGAAGAGGCGTTGGATGGAAACGACTCCAACTTCTCCTGGGCGGCTAGCATATTCTATTTTGGATAGTCAGTTTATGCCCTATTTCCTCGGATTGAAGGATATAATGACTTACTCCATGTAGCATTATATTCGCAATACCTCTCACCCTTTGGGGAAAACGGTTCTATCCTTCGAGATTTATCTTCGTCTCAGTCATTGGGTGGGGCATAGCTGCTACAGCGGGAGCTGGGGCATTCAACTTTGCTGGCCTTGCTACATCTCGGTTCTTCATTGGCTTTTTCGAGGCGAGTATAGAAGGCTGTGCAACGCAACTCCTCACGCCTGGGCTAACCATTCTCAACTTAGGCTGCCTTTGCTCCCACGGCAGTGTTTCATTTGACCTTGTGGTATACTCGCAGCGAACTTGCATTTAGAACTTGCCTGTTCGTTGGGATGTCAGCTTTCTCGGGTGCATTTGGCGGGCTGGTAGCAAATGGAATATCTCTCATCCACACTACCATTGGCCATTGGCGGGTTCTATTCCTTGTCGAGGGCTTGCCAACCGTCGCTTTCGCATTCGTGGTCCTGTTCTTTTTGCCTGACAGGCCAGAGACCTCGAAATTTTTCAAAAATGAGGAAGAGAGGCAGCTTGCCATTCGCCGGATGAATCAAGGGCAACAAAGTGAAGGCCACAACTCCCTTGTCATGAAGCATGTTATTGCCAGCCTTAAAGACTGGAAGGTATATGGTGTTTGCATTGTCAAAATGGGACACGATGCATCTTTGGCAACGATCTCAATCTTTCTACCAACCATCCTTCACTCCCTTGGGTATTCAAAAACTGCAGCACAGTACATGACTATCGGCCCGTATATGGCTGGCTGGGTGGTCATGGTTAGTTTCAGTCTCTTATCAGATAGGTTGCGAACAAGAGGTCCATTTATTATCGGAGGAACCGCTTTGGCCATCATTGGAGTGTCGTTGATGTATACGTTCCCAGCGAAAGAAAACCCCAAAGCTGCTCTTGGCGGTGTATTCCTACTTGTCATTGGCATCTTTCCGTGTATACCGCTGGAGGTGCAATGGGTCTCGGATAACGCTGGTGCAGAGTCGAAGAAAGCGATGGCACTCTGCATGATTGTGATTGCGGGCCATTGCTTAAGCATTCTTGCTAGCAAAAGTTTCCCTGAGCAGGAAGGCCCAATGTATATCCGAGGGTATGCTATTGTCCTCTCATTCCTGTGCCTGAGCTTCGTGACGTCGGTTGTTTTGTACACTCGACATCAGATCGTTAATGCGCAAAGGGACAAGAAGTATGGCAAGCCGAATCCTCTGCATAGAGTGGACACTTCCATACTAGCAGATAAGGCCCCTATGTTTAGGTATATCCCGTAGCTCACGTTATACCCACCATTAGATTGGTATGCTACCTTCAAAGGATTTGTTATTTGTGAAAGAGCAAATTTAGCCACTCCAGTGGGCTTGAATTCTTAATAGTAGAGTCGACGATGGCAGACTGAATGGAAACGACCAACCTAGTGGTCAATGGTATAATTCCACCTACTCTGGGCAGGGGTTTACGTTGGGATGTTGTTGGCAAAACTTAGCCTTGATTCAAAATTCGTTGCATATCAAACAAATTTGATAACAACCTTTCAGCCCTATCTTATAGAGTACCCCTTTTAATGCGAGCAGGTATATAACTCCAAGAAACTGTCCATGTTTGTAGGTATGTATGGTTAAGTCTGTAGGAGTTGAGACGTGCAAAGGTTGATTATATACCCATTCATCCATCATATCAAGTGCCGTAACCAATTACTTCGTTTGTTCTCCAGCCAATACCTTCCAAAGCAACTTCCCATCTTCCTCGTTAGACTCCTTTCCTACGTCTCCACCGGCCCCAAAGCGCTGGTCAACAACGCAAACTAACCATACATCATCCTTAATTTCCCTTATGAGTTTCTCACTTGGGCTTCCACGAGGGAATACACGTCTCCATTCTTCCCAAATGCCGAATGCTTCTTCTCCCCAAGCCCGGAAACTTACTGCCTCGATGATAGTCGGAGTAACGATTTCTTTACCCCTGAAAACACCCCAGGTTACGGCATTAACGCTTCCGTTGTCCATCTCGGTCAAAGGGTCTGCATCAAAAGGGGCTTCTGTAGGATCTGTAGGCGGCTGCGTCGGTGTTTCTGGTGAGGTAGATGACTGGAAATCGCCTTTTGCGTTCGTAGCGAACCAGGCGAATTCATCATGTCCGTAACTCTGAAGCAAAGGTTTCAGCTTTGAGTGGAAGTCATCCCCCGAGCAGAAAAATTCGACAAAAGCCTTCTGAAACACGAAACCTTCACCTCGAGGTCCCCAGCCAAATACCGGGTGGTCGTTACGTACGCCATTAACTGCTGGCTGAGATGCAAGCGTCCACCATCCTCGTCCCTCGACCAGCTTAAGAAGCTCGGCTTTAATCGTTGCAGTCTCCGGGTTAAGACCACCTTCTTCTCCTGCCCCACCTTCAGACCAGGGAACTGCGTGCAGTTCACCTGAAAGTAGACGTTTGAAGATTTTGCTGATATCGTCTCTGGAAGTTGGTGTTCCCCATAGTTTCCTAGCGACCTGCGCGGTAACGTGGAGAGACGGCCCATATCCATCGATTTCACCGAAGGCTGGAGAACGAGCATCACCCCATCGACCATTGGGGAAGTCATCCCACGTAGCCTCTCGTCCTAAAGAACCGAGACCCTCAGATATTTGCAGGGCAGTGTTACGGTTTGGGGGGTTAAGCGCAGGGTACCCTGCAGTCTGAGCGGAAGTTTCATGCACAGTGGAACTTCGCTCAGACCTGTCAGAGGCACGCGTCAGTCTATCGACAATAACACGGTTGTGTGGTTGAGAGTTCATTGAGGAAGCTCGCAATCGGTTCACGTTTGTTGATCTGCCGTCTGGAGTTGCAACACCATTCGATGCTCCTGAAGCAGCATATACAGCAGACTCAAACTCGAGCTCGCTATCGCTAGGGGCTTCGGATGATGGAGGAATCAAGTTGCATCGTTCCAAGATGAAGGATACTGATTTCTCCAAGTTGAGAGTATAAAAATGGAAGCCACGATGTCCTGGTGTGGCAATCTTCTTGATATCCTCTACAAGGTCACTGACAATATCGACACCAACTCGCTTTACAGCCTCATCATCAGCTTTACAGGCTTCAACCTTTGCCAGTATCTGTGGGGGTATTTTGGCGTGGCTCAGCTTGGTGACCCTGGTCAGAGTGTGGTAGCTTTGGATGGG